CCCCTCCCTTTCCCCTCCCTCTCTCCTCCCTCTCTCCCCTCCCTCTCCGCCTCCCCTGCCACTCAACTCCTCCTCCTGCTCCTCCCTCTTCCTCGGCTTCTGACAGGAAACCGAAAGTGAAATTAGGAAGAAGACTTGCGGCCGCGGAGGCGGGAGCCCTGAGTGACGCCGAGGACCCCGTAAGTCAGGTAGGCCGGGGTCCCCGCCCCGGAGTCCAGGAGCCCCTTCCCCCCGGCGCCCCGACCCGAACCTGCCCACCTGCTGCTTCTCTTCCGCACGGTTCTCCGGTCCCGTCGCTGGCCCGTGGGCGCTGGGCTCCGAAGGGGCGGCCTCGGTGGCTGGTGCCCGGGCTGAGGGTGGGAGAAGTTTCTTCTGCGAAACTCCCCGCGAAGACCCCTGCTGGAGGAGCGTGCTAGCCATTTAGAGTGTTCTACTGGGAAATTCAGTGCGTTTAAGATACTCAGCGCCCTAAAGACAGGGACTAGTGTGGAGCAGCTTGGAGAAGAGCCTGGGAAGTGCTCCCCACAAATGAGTGTGGATGAGCACACACATACATATATGTACATAGACGTTTCTGTAGGGAGCATGTGAGCACGCCTACATTGACAAGTGTGTGTTCAGTATAGTCTGCATGTAAGAAATGCCGGGATAAATCAGAACGGCAATGAATGCATGAACACGCGGACAGACACATGCAACAGTATGTGGAAAAGGTACTCTTAGATGAGGCCATAATGAACACACATCTTCAGGTTTACTTCCATGAGCCTGAGTGGGTAATTAACGACACGCCTGGGCTGTGTGGTGTGGCCTATTGCACAAGCACCGTATATCATACTTGGACAAAATGTCACATGTAAAGAGGAACGGCAGAAGCCTGACTCCTGGCCACTGTAGTTCCTGTCAAGATTAGTGAAGACTAAGCCAGCCTGGTGGCACAGGCCTTTAATCCCCGCACTCAGGAGTCAGAGGCAGGCAGGTCTCTGGGAGTTCAAGGCCAGCCTGGACTTCAAATTGAGTTCCAGGAACAGTCAGAGCTACACAGAGAACCCTATCTGTGTGTGTGTGTGTGTGCATCTGTGTGCGCGCGCATATCTATATTACGGAAGCAAGCATTTGGAATATGGAGGGACATGTAAATGAGTGAATGCTCATTACTTCTGTGATTGACTTCTCTGCACAATGGAGGCATGAGACTAGCAACAGTGTTCAGGACAAGCCTGGACTGAGGGTTAAAGCGAGGATGGATGTGATGAAGGTGGAATTGTTAACAGCATTACCCCTGCCAGTTTCTCTGCCTCCTCTGGAAACTCGGTTTCCTCTTCTGCCTGACTGGAACGCTGGGTCAGGCTGTGGAGGAGCCAGCGGCTCCTGCTATTCAGGTAGACGTTCTTGCCTTCTTTTGTTTTCCCCTCCGTGTCTTTCCCTCGGGGGTTTTCCTTTGCGTTATTGTGTGGAGTTTTGGTTTTGCCTTGCTTTCGCTTTTGTCATGCAAACTCTCACTTTCTCTCTCCCCTTCCCCCCTCTGCACCCCTCAGGATTCCACACCAGATGTTGCCCTCCACATCCTCCAAAATGTCCATGGAAAAGATGTGGGAGGAGGTCACCTGCTGTATCTGTCTGGACCCCATGGTGGAGCCCATGAGTATCGAATGTGGCCATAGCTTTTGCAAGGAATGCATTTCTGAGGTTGGGAAAAGTGGGGGCAGTTCGTGTCCCGAGTGCCGGCAACAATTCCTGCTCAGAAACCTCAGGCCCAATCGGCATATAGCCAACATGGTAGAAAATCTTAAACGTATAACCCAGAATTCCAAGAAGGGCCCCCAGGAAAGCCTCTGCAGGAAGCATGGAGAGACACTGCACCTATTCTGTGAGGAAGACGGGCAGGCCCTTTGCTGGGTGTGTGCCCAGTCTGGGAAACACCGTGACCACACCAAGGTCCCTATTGAAGAGGCTGCTAAGATATACCAGGTGAGGCCTCAGCGCAAGGGCACATTGGGTATAAAGAACCTGGCCCCTGGAGAGTGCCCAGTTCCCCGGAATGGTGGCTGAGAGTCACCCCTACATCTGAGAAGTTGGGGAATGGAGGGATACTGTCTTCCTTCCCTGAGAGGAACCTGTGCATCCAGTACAACGCCATGGGAGATGCGACGCAGGCTTCCTGGTGAATTAGAAGTGTAACGATCCAGATCCCATTACCCCATCCGTGTAGCTCTGTTTTTGTCAGCCATAATAGGTTTCCTCCTGAGTCTATCCATCCGCCTCCTCCACATCTCTAGCTGGGGACTAACCTGCTTGCTGTCTTTTTCTACAGGAGAAGATCCGAGTGGCTTTAGAAAAACTGAGAAAAGGAAAAGAGTTGGCTGAGAAGTTGGAAATGGATCTTGCAACGCAAAGAGCAGACTGGAAGGCAAGAGCCCTAGGCTGGGCTGCATCCCAGATCCGTGGCTGCCTGTCCGATGGGTGGTAGAGTTATTATACGGGTCACTCTCCAAGAATCACCCACGCTCTAGATCTCTAGATAGAGAGGACTTGGAAGGAAGCTAGGAAGCTTGCAATCAGGTGAGATTTCCCCAATCTGGCACAAAGATCAAGAATTACTGGAGAAAGTGTTGGACGGCCATGCCATTCCTTCTGACCCCACCTCAGGGGAAGAAAGAGTCAACACTGTAGTTTCTGGGCCTGAGGTATCCTGATGGGATCTATCTAAGGCTGAGATAAGAAGCCCACCTGACCCAGTGCCTGCTTGATGGTGACCACCAGTCCAAAGCCTGATGAGAACTAAAGCCTGTCACATTGCTAGTTTGCTGGTAGGAAACAGCATACGTGTGAAACTGGGAATGCAAGGGACTCACAGCCAATCACAGACTCCAAATGATTAGCAAAGACTGAAAATCAAGCTGTGATGGCAAAAGAGGTCGTCCTGTGTCATCAGGCGACCCTCCTGCTCTGGTATAAAAATAGCCGCACAAACCGCTCAGACTCCAGTCTCAGATACGGATGGTTTATTATAACACCTTTTCCAAGCTGATCGATCAGGGCCACAGCGAGGACTCGGGAGCCTAACGGTGACATCTACAAGTCCTCACAGCAGGATTTTTATAGAGAGAACCAAATGCAAAAGACATGGGGAGGGCAGTAGATATTTTGGCTAACTAGACAAAGAATTATCAGCTGACCTTTCAGCTGTCTGGTCCCAGGTAATGTGTTAGGGTCTTCTAGAATACATCCAAAGTGTAGCCAGGTGTGTAGATAAGGGTGCAACCAGAGTGTAGCCAAGTGAATAGATAATAAAGCATGAGTTATAGCACTATTGAATCAAGGTCAGCCAGGAGCAATCGCTTCCAGGAAGCAGAGTTGAAAAGTTTACATTTTTGAACTTACTTTCCCCTTAGAAACAACGTGGAAGCTGAATACAAAGATGGCTGCCGCTTTGTCTCAGACTACAGCACCTCCCAAAATGGCAGACTGTCCTGGGACCACTGGTTTTCCTGCAGGACTTAGCAATAGTCCATCATTGGGTATAGGAATAAGTTGTGCTGTCTGTGACTTGCTAAGCTAGAAAGAGAAAGGGACTCAAGTGTGGGTGTTCCTGTGTTTGGAAGAAAGGTTGAGGAAAGATCTGGTGCCGGAAGCTGCTGAAGCTGTAGTTTACAATAGCTCCAGTGTGCCATTTACAGTGTAGTCCCAGAAGCTGTGCAGTGTGTATGTGTGTACACGTGTGTGTGTGTGTGTGTGTGTGTGTGCGCGCACCCAGACTTAAAGAGCCGTGGGTGTTTAAGGAACGGAAACACCTCCACCACCAAAGGCGAGGAAATTTTGATCAAAAATAAGAAATGTAAAAGTCTTGTCTTTCCCCTGCCACCACAGAGCAACGTGGACACACAGAAGTCGAGGATCCACTCGGAGTTTCTACACCAGAGTAGCTTGCTGGCTCAGGAGGAGCAGAGACAGCTGCAGAGGCTGGAGACGGACGAGAGGGAGCACCTGAGACTCCTGGGGAAGAAGGAGGCTGAGCTGGCCGAGAAGAACCAGGCCCTGCAGGAGCTGATTGCAGAGCTGGAGAGGAGAAGCCGGGGCTCTGAGCTGGAGCTGCTGAAGGTGCGCAGGCGCAAGGAAGTGACCAGAGAGGCTGGGTGTGTCTGTATCTGTATGCTGCAGCCGGTGCCAGGCGGGAGAGCGCCGCACTTACCACGTGTCACCGGGATTCATAGTATCACATATCTTTAGTGATTTTTTTTGAAAGTATTAAATGAGAAAGTCCACTCTAGTCGCTAGACAAGTAGCCGTAAGAATGTGTTTTAAAATACAGTTTATAAAACTGAACGGTGCCATTTCTCTCCAACATGGTCGGTCATGAGAATAAGCCGTTTTTCTTTTCCGTACTCTCTTTCTCCATTTATCAAGTCACAGAGGAAGTGGGATCCACGGGGTGTCCCTAGCGTAGGCATAGCTGTTGCATCTTGATACTTCGTGCTGTTTCTGTGAACTACCTACATGATTTTTAACATGGTCCGCTTCTGCAAATAGTCTCACCCTTTCCCAAAAATAAATTTAACTTTAAAATAATTTTTTCTGAAACATGGGAACTAAGAAATCATGTATTGGTACTACTGGTTTGTTTGGGTTGTTTGTTTGTTTGTTTGTTTGTTTTTTCTAATTTTTCCCGTAATGATGTTAACTGCAAATTCCTAAACAGCAAACTGATGGCTTCCTAGGGTTCAGTGCTGCTGTGACCCCATTCCATGGATGAGAAAACTAAGGAGCAGAGCAGAGACATTACTGGACTTAGTGAGAGATTCGTGTTGACTTACAATCAGTTTATCTAAGTAGTAGGAGGCAAAATTAAGATGGAGTACATGCATGATTGTTTTTTAAAGTCAGTGTATATTCTAAATCTCGCATCCACCCACGGTCTGTTAGCCCCACGTTGGAATGCTGTTGACAACATGATCTCCATGTTTCTTTGCTCATTCCTGTGTCACTCAGTCAGATGCATACAGACATTTCTTCCTGGCTTGTACTGAAAAGCTTAGCACGTCTGGTCTGGCTGGGCAGGCATTCTCTTGCCAGTCACTGACTGGGCTCCCGGGTGCATTTTGACTGAGCCTAGGAGGCTGCCAGTTCCAACATCTGGGGGAACCGAGCCCTTCTAATTTGTTTTCTCAATCAGTCTTTAAACCCTGGTTGCATCCTAGCTAAAGGCCATATCCGTGTTGGCTTCCTAGATATTCTGCAAGCTGTCACATGTCCTTTCTGAAGAGCTACTCAGAATTGTCTTTGGGGCCTTGACCCAAGGGAGTTCTGCAGAGCCAGGGAAACATGGGTGATGTCGCATGTCCCCAGGGGTGACAGCTCAGTGGTCAATCAGAAACTCCAGAACTGACTCTCTGTCTCTTCTGTCCTCAGGAGGTGAGGATCGTCCTGGAAAGGTAAGGAGAGGTTTCCTCAGTTAGAAAAGGGAACAGGAAACATGTGTACATTGAAATGGCTATTGAGTTAGGCACAAATGCACCTGGGTTTTCCGCCATACATCCCCATTCTCAAAGACCTGGTCCTCTCTAAAATGGTCTCCGGCCTCTAAAGCTAATGGACATCTCAAATGATGAATTGCCCGATGTAGTTAGAATGCATCCTCTTCGTACATTAAAATCCCCCACCATAGTAAAAGGGAATCTTAGTCTGCTAGGGTCCTCATGTGGAAAGACACTCGTAAAAGACACTCGGAAAGACATGAGTAAAAGCTACAGCATGGCCAGGACTCCCCTAGGTTCTTCACAGAGGTGACTCGGCCTATGAGATGGTTCCCATAAAATCAAACAGAGCCCACTTAGCGGTAACCTTGGGTTTTGGAAGGAGATGCAGATTTATTTAAGTTCCCTAGGACTCCTGGGTAAAATTTTTTTTTTCTTTCACAAGGACACTGAATGCATGAGTATTTGTAAATTTATATTGAATTTAATTATCACAGCCATCCCTGAAGAAAGGCCTGGGGAAGTAGGAAGTAAGATTCCCCGTTTTCCCCTAGGAGTGGATCCTGGAACCTGGATACGTTAGAAGTTGCCTCCCCAGACCTCACAAGTGCATGCCATGTACCAGGGCGGAAGAAGATGCTGAGGACATGTTGGGGTGAGGTGACTTGTAGAGCAGAAGGGGATACCGAGAGTGCAGAGTGGATGGTCCTGGGGAGCACAGGGTAGCAGCATGAGGAGGAGGTGGCAAGGGAGCACAGGAGGAGCAGAGACGCAGGGAAGGTTTCCTCACACCACAGAGGCGGGGCAGGAGTTGCTGGGAGTCATTTCCTCAGAGTGGCTGGCCCACGCAGGCTTACCTGTGATCTTCTCCGTGCAGTTCATATTACTCTGGATCGCAACACAGCCAACCCGTGGCTCGTCATCTCAAAGGATCGGAGACAAGTGAGGCTTGCAGACACCCATCAGAATGTGCCCGAGAACAAAGAGAGGTTTGATAATTACCCCATGGTGCTAGGTGCCCAGAGATTCTCCTCTGGGAAGATTTACTGGGAGGTAGATGTGACCAGAAAGGAGGCCTGGGATCTGGGGGTTTGCAGAGATTCTGTACAGAGGAAGGGGCAGTTTTCCCTCAGTCCTGAGGATGGCTTCTGGACCATTTGGCTGTGGAAAAAAGACAAGTATGAGGCTGGGACCAGCCCCCAGACCACCCTCTACGTACAGGTCCCTCCATGCCAAATCGGGATCTTTGTGGACTATGAAGCTGGTATTGTCTCCTTCTATAACATAACAGACCATGGCTCCCTCATCTACACCTTCACGGAGTGTGATTTTACTGGACCTCTGCGGCCCTTCTTCAGTGTTGGTTTCAATGATGATGGAAGGAATGTGGCACCTCTAAAGCTCTGTCCACTAAAGATGTGATGATCAGGAGCCAGTACTCCTGACAATACTGTCTGGACACTGTTACCCCCTCGTCCTGATCAAAACCCAGTGACTACTGAAGACCATTTGTGGATGCTGTTACCCTCTTCCTGTTGGCGTACTTCAGCCATGAACTCTGCTTTTTTGTCCATCTAACTACCCAAAACCATCATCTCTGTAGAGGAGTCGGGGTCCCAGAATGAAGGAACAGCTGGAGATAACTAAAAGTCATTGTCAGCTGACCTTCAACACCAGTGTACCTGACATAGATTCCTTAATGGTTCCATCCAGTGAAACGCCTCACTTCAGACCCAAACTCATCCAGTTCAGCCAAAACCATATTTCTGCCTCCTTTGTGTGACTTATTTTGTTTTCTCTTTTCTTGGCCATTACCTTTGGCCAGATACCCACCTATTCCTCTATCTTCTGTGGCTTGCAGAAGGGCTTCCTAAAAATTGTGCCTCAGTCTGTCCTATTCAGTCCTTGTTGATAAAGGTCAAAATGTCTCTTTCACATTGTACATCTTTTAGATTGTTTTGTTGTTGTTACTGGAGTGTTTTTTTTTTTGGGGGGGGTGTATCCTTTGCTTGTTTGTTTTCCCTCTCTGGCATGTTCTTTGCATTTCTTCATGTATAGACCCAGGTCAAGAATATCTTACAGTCTGACAAACCAAAGCTAGGACAAAGTAGGAAAAGTGTTCAGATGAGAGCTGAATGTAACAGTGACAGTATACTTGATGTCCCCAGTAATAGCCAAAATTTAGGTGCCATACTGGCCTGGCCAGCGAGTCCCTGCAGTTGACTCTCACATGAAGGAGACAGCTATGGCCATAGGCTCCCTGCTGTCAGTTTATGGATATGCTGTTCCCTGACCCTGTCGCCTTGAAGAAAGTGAAATTAGTAGCTGAACTAGTACACAAACATATTGAGAGCTTTGAAAATACCATCAGCAGAGTGCAGAGGAAGGATGGATAACTGTGCGGTGAAGAAAACTCGGGATGGCTTCGCATTCAGTCAGCAGCTCCAGAAGTTTTTACGTACACTGAATGGAAACAAATATGGCCCAAAGCTGCCAGAGTCGAGAAACTATAACTGCTCCCTTTGTTGTTCCAACTCAAACCAAAGAAACCTCTCAGCTCCAGCAATGCAATCTCACAGAGACCCTCTTCAACACAGACCACTGCAACTCTAAAGGTTAACCTAGGGGTGGTGGGAAGGAATCCTGGTGTGGGCAGCTAGAGAGGAAAGTGCTCAAATGCTGTAGCAGGTAAAGGCACTGAAGCTTACTGCCAAGGACGTAAAAGGAAACATGTCTACCTCAGAAAGCTGAGAAAAGCGCTGAACTGATTGGCTAAAAGAGTGAGCAGAGGACTGTGGGGATTCTCTGTATCTCAAAGGCTTTGCGGTACCCAGTGAAGAGGCCCGTGGATAGAACAAAAAGAGTTTCAACAGCTGGACCAGAAGAAAACACCAGGATTTTTTTCATTCCAAATCATGGTTAACTGTGATGTTCCCATTTATTGACCATTCTTAAGAGATTCACTCGTGGTTTTGTCTGTCTCATAAGTAGACTTTGTGGAGGCTACCCTCCTTTCTCAGTAACCTCGAGGTCAAGTTTGCCTTTGTAGCAGAGCAGTGTCTTCTCTGTCCAGGGGAACAAAGGCTGACTATGGGATTCACCATGTGAGTACAAAAAATTGTTTTGTTGTTGTTTGCTTGTTTGTTTGTTTTGTGAAATGAACACAGGTGGTGACACCAGTAGTGAAATGTAAGCACTGAATTGAACTTGGAGCTAGTGTGAAGTTTGGCAAAGAACATCTTGATAAATAAATGATTTAAGATATTTAAAATATGCTTCTGTGTTTCAAAATATAAAGCAAAACCTGACAGATAACAAGTGATCTAGGCACATCTCTATTTATAACATCAAAGTTACCTTGAGAAATGAGAGAACTATCTCCAAATACTGCTCCCAATTCTGATTAATATTGTCCCTTAAAGTCAAATAAAGCCTCGTGATTTTCCTGAACTTCTTTCATTCAGCTTTCAAATTAACAGACACAAAAAGTATTAAGTGTCGTATTTGTGCTGGCTCAGGCCATACAACATCCAGCATGGAGAGATGGCCACAAAGTACCACTCTAGCTAAGCAGCTTTCGGCAGTTGGTGAGAGGACAATCGGTTTTCTTTAAGAGTGTAGGCCCTGCTGGGCAAACAACCCCAGTGAAAGCCATACTTCCAGAGCATCTGGGCAGCAAGAACAGTACTTGGTAGGTTTAAAAAGAGGAATGACACAAAGTAGGGTAGGAAAGAAGACATGGATTTTGGAGGTATGAGAAGACTAGGTGATAAATATGATCAAAGTACATTGAAATTCTCAAAGAAGTAATTTTTAAAAGAGACTAGAAGTATCATATCAAAATTTCAAAGACTAAAAAAATTTTTAAATATACTTACAATTTATTTTGATATATATATGTGTGTGTGTGTGTGTGTGTGTGTATATATGTAACAGATTCTGTTTAGAGGTCAGCCATGCCATGACCTAATGATAAGCATCATTAGGCTTATCATTACAATCAGAGCACAACCAAGAAATATGAAGATTATGGTAAGCCTCCATATTTCATTCAAACTAAACTGGTGTTTTTACAAAAAAAAAATTATTAAGCTGTAATGTTGACAGTGGTTTAATTCAGTTCTTAAGTAGCTCTATAAAGACCTCTAATCTTAAAGTCAATGAATAATAAATAAGAGGAATATATCCATTACTTTGCGTTACTAAAGAATAATACTAATAAACCTGATGCTTTTTTATATGAGATACTCAAAGTCAGCTTCCTAACATCCGTGCAGGTACGTGCACACATCCCACTGTGTACACACAGAATGGATTTTTATTGCATTGAACTACATATTATAGAAACTCATATGGTTTCAGTGAAATTAAACGTATGTACACAGTTACATCAATTCAGATTCCATGTGGACATTTTCATTGTGATGCACTAGCACAATTCATTGTACGTAAAACTTTCTTGTGCTCTTAGTTACTTTGGTGTGGGCGTCCCTCTTTTAAAGGTGCCCCAAGCATATCCTAAGAAGAGTTTCTGTGAAAATAAGTTATTTGCTCAAGGTCCAACAGATTACCTATCATCACCATGACCACGGTCATTGTCATCGTCAAACTCGGTATTCAATCCTGACCCAAAGCACTATGCTTCTAAACACTGTACTTCTCTGGGTACGTGGCAAAGTGACTTTGAGAGTCAAGACACGTCACTTTCTACACTGTGTGAAAGTTTGATTCATTCTTCAGTCTTTGCAAAGACACAACAGTGTAAAGCTCTGTGTGGAGACTACACCACCTAGTTAATCAAACTCGGCACAGTTTCCGCTGTGAAGACAAGGTGCTAAGTACACGCTCCCAAATCTGCCTGGTTTTGACCCCATAGATGATGGGATTCAGCATGGGAGGGGCCAACATGCAGACATTGGCCAGCAGGATGTGGGTGTGGAGAGGAACGTGGCGCCCAAACCTCTGGGTAATTATGGTAAAAATGCCAGGCAGGTAAAACATGGAAATGACCCCAAGGTGGGATCCACATGTGCCCAGAGCCTTTTGCCGGGCTCCTCTGGAGGGGAGGCGGAAGACTGCGTAAAGAATGAGACTGTAGGAGACTAAGATGAGCAAGGCATCAAGCACTACCGTAGAGAGGAGGACGGACAAGCCGCACCAAACATTGACGCGGATGTCAGCACACGCAAACTTGGCAACGGCCATGTGCTCACAGTAGGTGTGAGGTAGCACATTGCCGCGGCAAAACGGCAGCCGTTTCACCAGGAACACATCTGGGAGTATCACACAGAAACTCCTCAGGACCACAGCCACGCCAATCCTAACAATGGCCACACGGCCGAGCACGGCGTTGTAGTGCAGTGGGTCACAGATGGCCACATAGCGGTCAAATGCCATGGCCAACAGAATCCCCGATTCCGCAATGAAGGTGGCATGAATGAAGAAGATTTGAGTGACACAGCCATCAAGGGAAATTGCTCCAGCGTGAAGCCAGAATATGGCCAGCGCTTTGGGCACAGTGGTAGTAGACAGGATGAGGTCAGCCACAGCCAGCATGCAGAGGAAGAGGTACATGGGTTCATGGAGACTGCGTTCAGTGATGATGACCAGGAGGAGAATACTGTTTCCAAAGAAGGCAACCAGGTAGGAAATGAAGAAGGGGAGAGAGATCCACGGGTGTTGGTCTTCCAGGCCAGGGATGCCCAGCAGAATAAAGAGTGAATGGCTGGTTCCTGTGTAGTTAAAAGTTGCCATGCCCAGGCCAGGTCATTTGTAGATTGGAGTATAGGATATGACAGTCAATTTCCTGTTCCCAAAATGCTGAATGGGTTGAGGAGGGGAAAATAGGACATTATCACTAGATAGAACAGCAAAAAGCATTCTGATCAGGAATTGTGGCAACACTATAACAAACAGGTCTCTTGGTGAGGACAAATCCTTGCCAGTCTATCTACTATATAGACCACAATAAGTTGCTTCCCTGCCCTAGGTTTCTCTAATCATTTGACTCTGAGAGAAATATGGGGTAAATCATCTTTAAGACAAACCATTCTTCTCTTCAAGGCCACAGGTCTTAGCTGTGGGTTGTTCTAAAGAGTTACAATATGTGAATAGCAAACTACAATCCCCACAAAATATTACTATACAAAAGAAAAGTAGTAACTGAGTTGCCTGTCAATTTAACTGGCACACTGAACACCATCTTTACTCAAGGGGTGGATATTTGAGGAACAGACAAAATAAAGTGCAGTATCTATTTACAAAATATAAGCAATGTATAATAAAAAGTCTAACCTGCAGAGCTTTGGAAAGAGTCCAGAAAATACTTTCTAGAAGTGCTTAATGAGCTTCATTGAAGAGTAAGTCGCCAAGTACAGAAGTGTGATGATGGAAGAATATGAGCAACATTAAAGACCTCTGGAAGGACCTCTCTCCTGCAGGGCTGTGTCAGATGCATAGAGAAGAGAGGTGGAGTAAACAAAGCTCAGTTAGGGCTGGCTGTGCTCAGGGCTTTATGTCTCAAGCACCAAAGCCTAAGGCAACGGTGGTAGAACAAACAGAGCAAAGGTCATCAGGTTGTCCAAATCATAGGCTGAAATCTGGATCCCCAGAACAGACTTGAATCATTTCCTATCTGTCCTACTTCATGTTGCCTCAGTTTATCAGACAATTGTAATGTTCAGACTCCTTGTTCAAGTAGGAAGCTACTGTTAAAGCCCCTCCCTACCCTGACTTGGTACCTACAGGTTGACTTATATGCAGCCATCTTTTCCCTCTCCCTCCTCTGCAAAGCTGAACCTTCCATCTGTGAACCGCACCCCAACCCTCTCGTTAACTCTCCACATTAACCCATCACCCTAGTGATTTCAGCTTCTCCCTCTCTGCCGACTGACCCAGCTGTGTACATAGGTTCAAATGTCTCCGCTCCCTTCATTTCACAAAAGCAAGGTTCGTCCTCTCCTCCCCTCTTACGTCCCTCCTCACAGTCACCATTGCCATCTCCCTGCAACCCCAAAACGGCACTGTATCCCATTCTCCAGAATCATCCACTGCCAGCGCTAATGTCACAATCACAACGGCCAAAGCTAATGTCACCTTCCATTTATTTTTACCTGCAATCTCCAGTCACTTACACTTCTTGATTGTATAACAGTAATCATTAAGTGCCTGAATAATAATTGTATTTCTTATTTCTAATCCTCACAGCAAATCTGTGAAATTGAAATTATCACAAATTTATACAAGACACTGACAGTTAAATAAACAATTTGTCCAAACAATCTGTTAGGAGCCAGGCTAATATGCAAGTTTGGGTAGCATCAAGCTTCTCTTAATATTAAAAAAAAAAAAAAGCCTTCACTGGGCAAGCAAGATGACAGACTCAGTGTATGAACGCTGCCTTCTGCCAAGCCTGATGGCATGGCTTCCATCTCGAGAATCCACACAGTAGAAGGATAGAAGTGACTCCTGCAAGTCACCCTCCAACTTCTACATGCATGTCATGGCATGTACACAGCTACACTCACGCACACCAAGTAAATAAGATGCAATAAGAACATGTCAGACTTCCGTTCCCTGAGGATGACCACCCAAACCATCTTTTGAGGGCTTCCATCCCACTCCTCACCAATTCCAGCTGTGCTACATCTTCAGAGATGTGTCTGACAGTATGATACAGGAAATACGTGAGCGTTAGATCCAGACCTTCCTGCGTTCAATTCCTTCTCTGCCCGCTGCATACACACACTCACATTTTCACCACATTCGCTTTTATAGTCATCATCATATGTGTTCACTCACAGAAGTTCTGATCAAGATGCATACAGTGACAAACATTTCACAGTTCATATCCCTTCACTATGACATTACACAAGCACAGTTAAGCTTCCCCAGACTTGGACATGAAGAAATTCCAGATCATCATTATCCGCGTCATCTCACTCTCACACACACATCCTAAGTCACTGCGTGATGACGTAGGCTGAGTCACCTCGGCCTCTCCTCGCCCGCCATTCTGGTTTTCCTCTAGTCCGTGAGTCTCCTCTGGGAGCCGTGGGTGGGGAGAGAGAGCTACTTTATTCTTGCCTCCAGCCTTGCTGTCTGCATCCGCCAGAAAAGAGGGCTCTCAAAACAGGTAACTCAAAGGGCAAAAAATGCTCTCCGCTTCAGTTTCACTTTGAACTTCAGGAGCTTGAGTCAGAGATTCAAAACGTAAGTGCTGGGAGGGTTGAGAGTTCAAGGCCAGCTTGGATGACAGCTTGTCTAAAAGCACAAAAACAAATCAAAACT